GTTTTATTATATAATTTAAAATTAAAAAAAAAAACTATAAATCATTAATTAAAAAAGAAAACTTGGAGCCTTTCAATGGAAAAATTCTAACGTATCTTAGAAATATCAGGTATTTTCAACAAATTACAATGTATCACATCATTATTTTCGCTGTTGAATTAGCTGACATAACTAATGAGATGGAAAATTTTTGATGAGGTGACACATTGAGAATATTATTTGAATATGGTTAAATGATAAATTTGATCCGTCAACTTTAGTGAGTTGCACATTTTTGGTCCCTTAATAATTTTTGCATTTTTTTGATCCATCAACTCTAAGAAATGCACACCGTTAGTCATTCTGTCAATTTAGACCATTAACTCCGCCATGTGACATTTTTTATATTTTTTTTGATAACATGGCGAAAACAACTTTAAAAAGTGCTGATTTGGAATTTTTTTTTATGATGTGTCAATGCCAACTCATAAATTAAATTTGTTTAGAATTTATATTTGTAATAAAAAATAAAAAAGTTCGACTCATCTTCTTCCTTTCTTTTTTCTTCTTCTTTCTTCCTCTTCTTCCTCTGTTGCTGGGTCCCTTGAACCCAGCCATCTTCGTTCAAGGGAACCCAGCAGATCTGGGCTCGATGGAACCCATCTACTGGGTTCCACCGAACCCAGCTCGGGTTCGATGGAACCCAGCTCCACTTTATTATTATTATTTTTTTTGTTATATGTTTGTTTGAAGAGATTTTTGAGATCCTTTTCTTCATATTTCTTAAGTATCGTTTAAATGATTTCAATGTTTAAAATGGAAAGAACATTGCCGGCAATGGAAAGAACAGAAGCAGTGACTAATGGGTAAAGAAGCAATTCTTAGTGGGTTTCCATTTGTTTGGCTAAAAGGGTGTTTGGATGCTGAGAAAATGTTTTTTGTTTGAACATAACAAAACGTTTTGTCCATATCATCACTTTTTTAAATTTTGCGCTCCACATCATCAAAAAAAATATAAAAAATGCCATATGTGCGGACTTAACGGCCCAAATTAACAGAAGGACTAACGGTGTGCATTTGTTAGAGTAGAGGGATCAAAAAAGTATAAAAAATTATTGAGGGATAAAAAATATGCATTTTTTAAAGTTGAAAGACTAAATTTAACATTTAACCTTTGAATATTTCACCAGCAATGCGAGCAGGTGCACATGAAACTTGCCTTTTACCTTGGACGCCAACTCAAAAGAATGGGAAACATGAGTGCCCTCAAGTCTTTCCCATGAATTGGAATTTTCAGTATTGACAAAAGCAAACACATGCATCTTGGCCCCAATTGTGATTATAATTTAGCATAGTGTCGTGATTTTTTTCCTTCCATTGTTTCTCTTTCCTCAGATATTTTTCTCTGCCTCGGATTCCTCTCTCTCTCTTGCCATTTACTAATGAGCAATGGTAAGGGCACTCGCCCATGAGCACTTTCTTCAACACTTGCCTTTCTTTTGTGGACACGTTGCAATATATTTAAATATCTAAATTGACAATCGAATTCCAAGTTCGAATGCATTTTTTAGCGTTTATTTTAGTTTTATTTTTTAGAATTCGATTTTAAATTTAGATGGTTATATATTATAAAATAAAAATTATTAAATAAAAA